ACAGGGCCAGCCCGGGAAAGTGACTTCCTGGCTGCCCTTCTTCCAGAGGGCGGGGCACCCGAGCGCAGGGCCAATCAGGAGCCCTGCGAGGGGGAAAGTCCGCAAGAGAGAGAGAGGGGAAGCTCTCTCCTTGTCTCTGCAAATGGCGGAGGAGGCTCCGGAGCCACAGGGGATGGCTCAAAGAGCCGCATGCGACTCCGGAGCTGCGGGTTGCCGACCCGTGCCCTTTGCTATTTCAATTTGCTAGATCATTTCAAATCTGAAAATTGAAAATAATGACTAACCTGCATAAACAGCATGCTTATATTAGGTGAAATAAAATTGTACATACTTTTGGACAAGTTTTTCTTTAGAATGCTTTTTCAATATCTTCCTTTCATTGTGGTCTGTGACAGTGCTCTCTTGTACCGAAGTCTTGTTTACCATAGAATATCATAAATTTAGTAACTAGGAGAAGAGATCTATTCACTACAGCAATAAAAACATTTGAAGGCATAAAGTAAAACACCAAATTAAAATACCAGAACTAGTTCATGAAGTAAGCCTGTGAAATAAAAAATACAGAAACATGGAAGTTTAGTTGGAGAAGTACTGTACCTAAATCTAAAAAACAAATATATTTTTTAATATTTTGCACAATAATGTTGCATAAATAAAAAATATTCTTATCTTGTGTTGCTAATGCGAATTGATAAATTTTCTTTTTATTTTTTAATTTGTACTTATTGTAATGTATTTTTGATAACCCTCCTCCTCCTTCAAAAAGCCAAAAAAAAGATAAAAGCAAAAAAGGAATATAAATTTACAAATTGCATAAAATTAAACAAAAACTTTGGAAGTAATATTAGCAATAAGTCTAAAGGTGACGAATTATCAATTTAGCACATGAATTAATTTTTTTACATTGAGGCACACCCCCACATTTTCATTTTTCTAAAGAATTATGTGTGATTTCCAAGAAGTAACTCGAAGTGTCCTGGCAACTGTTACCATATAAAAAGGGCAACTCCATGTATTTTTTAAGGTTATAAGGTTGGCAATGTACTTTGCTAATTAGAAGGATTTTTCCCCCAGCATTTTTTGCAAAATGCTTTTAGTAAATCATGATGTGTTTCTTTATTGCTTTTTTGGCACATTTTTTTTAATTAGTGTACCTGTGAGGTATGGTTATTCTATCTCTAGCTTTTTTCTCTGTTGCAATCCCTCTCTCTTGATGTCTAAAAATACTGAGATCTCTTGGGGAGAAAATACCTTTTTTTCTACAATTTTACAATTTTTTTGTAAGAACTTGTCTATTCAAACTGTTTTTGCCCATCATTTTTGTTTCCTTAGGCTCCCTCCTGGCAGCTGAGCATTCCAACTTGGTTGTCCTACATGACAAAGATTAGCTAAAGCGCTCCTGCTGTGCTTTGCTAGTCTTGTATATGTTGAAAAATATGGAAAGCCTTTAAATGCTTAATAATATGCCTAATATAATCTAATTGATCAACAAAAATGGAATTGCTTGCCTGTAAATTCAGAGCAAAAACAAAGTTCAAAGAAAATGGCAGAAGAGCGAAAGCTGTTTCTTCTTAAAATGTAATAATTTTCATGGAAATATTATTTCTACTCAAGCATGGCAGTGGATCAGTTGAATTAGGTGCTTATGTTATGCATGCACCTTTGTTTATTTAAAAGCTAATATTGGTCTCTGAGATAAAGTATCTCACCAGAATAATTAATTTTGCTTACTGATTTTATTTTAATTTATAAAGGATTTCAAGGACATAACTAGTTAAACCCTCTTGAGGGCCTTGTTCCTTACCAAGCTGTTGTTTGAATATAGCAAAATGATGCAAAGCATTTATATGCATGCCATTTAAAAATGGTACACAGTGTGCATATTTTGTCGGGTCAGGAATAAACTACATACATAATCATATTGAAGTGCTTCTTTATATTCATTCAAGATTAATGTGATTATTCCTCAAGAGCATCAAAATCCCTGATCAATTGCTCACTTAGTTTATTCATGTAAACAATTAAAATAAACCAGTGCACTATAGATATATATTGGAAGTCCAAATCAGTTGAAATAAAAAAATGTTTTCCTGCTTGTTGATGACATTTTTATAATTATCACAAGATATGCATTGTAATTACCACAGTATATCTTTGAACATATACTGATATTGTTTGTACTAAGGATGAAACTTCATTTTTGTTATATAACAAAAATGTTGGTATAAGAAATTTGACTTCCCCTATTAAAATTTCTTTGTTCCCTGTGTCTAAACCTTCAAGTCAGCTTGAAGAAAAATAGATAAACCTGTTATGTGCTACTAGTGGTTTCCCATTTTGATTTACAATAACAATGGTCAATGTATAAACCATGTGTAGTCCTTGGCTTATGCAGTGTTTCTCAACCTTGACAATTTTAAGGCATGTGGACTTCAACTCCCAGAATTCCACAGCCAGCAATGCTGGCTGTGGAATTCTGGGAGTTGAAGTCCACATGCCTTAAAATTGTCAAGATTGAGAAACACTGGCTTATGGTAATGGGTACACAAGGGTTTCACGCAAATGTTTTGTTTTCCCTTGCTTTTAGTATCACTTTTAAAGATAGATCAAAAGGATCTAAAAAGTGGTACTGAAGCAAATAAAATTAACGAATGGATTTATGGGTAGGTGTGTGTAAATAAGTTCATAGTTTCCAACTCTGCAGTGAACATTTCTTAATAAATTTGAATAAATGTATGAGGAATGCTTGTGGTGACATTACAGGTATTGAGGATGTGGAAGTATTTTGTATTTTTGTGTGCAGATGCTGTGGTTTAGTTAGCTGGGACCCTGAGTTATTTGCAATAAATGTTATGTAGATTGTATGATGCAATGGGAATATGGATGTGAAAACTGATATGTATTAGGTAAATTAGAGTGAATGACTGTTCTGTGTTTCCATTAATGCGGTGGGTTGACTCCAAAATTGGATTAATCACATTACATAGTTTGTAAAAAAAAAATGAAAAAAAATCTCCAAATTTCCTTGAAATTGTAATGTAGTATTTAATTGAAATAAAGAATTGTGTCATCCTTGAAATGTTAAAATAAAATTAAGTCAAATTTATTTTTAGCCATACACGTATGTAAATATCACAACATAGAGAAGTAAGTTCTTGTTTCTACTGCAGGAAAACTTTGTGGTACCTTAAAGACTAGAGACTGACGTCTCATATTATGTCATCAACTTTTTGGGATGGAAACTATTTCATGAATGCATGAATTGTCTTCTGATGACTATTTGGGCATGTCTATTGTACAGTATATAGTTTTTCTGAAAAGGCTGTAGAAGAGGCTTATTATAGCCTTCTTCTAATATGAGTTTTATTTCCCAGTCTAGTCTATAGGCCTGGGATTTTATGATGGTTTCCCATTCAACTATGAACCAGATCTCTTCTAGTTAATTTTTTAGATGACAATCAGGATGCTGTCATCTTCTGAGTTTTTGTGAAGAATTCAGCTAAGCCTGAATCTTACGGGTAATAGTAGTCATGAGAAAACTAAGCAAGTCTGTGAATGAAACATCCCTTTCACTTTTCATAAATAAGATTGTGAAGGTGGGAACCAGGATTCAGCTATCATTCATTTGTTCTTCTGCATAATCTATTTTTTCCTGTCCTTTGCAACATGGGAAGCAATAGATAAAAAGGAGGCTACTACACGTACTAACGCAGCAAGAATTGTATTTGCCCAATATTGGAAAAATGAAAATTTACCAGCTGAAGAAGTAGTAATTAAGAAAATTTTAGAGTGTGCAGAAATGGATAGATTGACTTTAAAGATAAAAGGGAAAGAAGACTTGGTGTATTTTAGAACATGGGATAATTTCTATCAATGGCTAGAAAAACGAGTTAGAGAGAAAGGAATGTGATATGTAATTTTGAATATATATTAGCAAGAAGAAGGCCATTGAGTGATTAATTAACATATTGTTTATGACAATTAACTATTATCTATTATTGCTTGTTAAACACATGAACCCAGACATTATGCCCTTTGCTAAATATTGAGAATGTTATTTGGAAAAACCCCAACCCTAATCCTAACCCAAATCCCAACCCCAATCCCGACCCACCTTATTTCTAACCCTATAAAAATTAATAAAATCTATACACAAAAACCGGAGACTACTTTGCTACTATTATTGTGGTTCTATCGTTCTTTAGCTCTTTCTGTCAGCTCACTGGAACCAAGTATGTTTGGTCTGTGAATCTTTGGTGATTGTGCTAAAACGGTTGTAATATTGTTTCATCGGAGCTATTGTCCTCAGATCTTGGATCAGAAGTGTAAAGCACTGATACATTTAGCTCACAAGATGCCATTCCATAGTGCTGGAAAATTACAGTACATGGGTTTTGATAGTTGCTAAAATGGACTTCCATTTTACACAGTGGCAACAACTACAATCAGTGTGCCTTCTGTGTTTGGCATTCCTGAGAAAAACCATTTCTGTATCCAAGAGTTTGACACATTTTGAGAGACAATTAGGTGAATGATCCATCTTTGTTCTTAAATAATGGTATGTGTCTAATGAGTCTCTCTCTCTCTCTCTCTCTCTCTCTCTCTCTCTCTCTCTCTCTCTCTCTCTCTCTCTCTCTCTCTCTCTCTCTTTCTCTGTGTGTGTGTTTTATCAATGTAGAAGAAATTGAGTTTTTCAATAGATTTTCAGATGGTTTCAGTAAGGCAGAATATAATTCATGAGATACATATAATTCCCAAAATCTCTTTCAGGACTGTACAAAATGTTCAAATCCAAACCTTAAGTAAATCCTTTATTTAACTGTTGTTAATTTTAACCCTTTTAATGCTTTCATGCTATTGTAAGCCAACCAGAGTTACTCTGGGTAGTGAAACTAGCAGCATATAAAATAAATCATAGTTTTGCAGTGCAATCACTTGCATTGCAAACCTGGATCAATCTTAATTTCATATATTTGATACTTTGCCACACACGCATAAGAATGCACTCACATTTTGATCTGAAAATAGGCTATATTGAACTTGCAAGCAAACCACCGATTCTAGACATGGAAATCCTATTAATGGTAAATGATGAAGTTGTTAATGCTTCACTGCCTTCAGCTGTAGCATCTCATTGAATGGGGATTTGTATCTTGCTAAAACTGCCCATGTGAATATTTTATCTAAACAGATCTCAGTGGATTGTTGCTCTAAAAAGGCATATTTTTAATAAAACAGAAAGAGTGAATCATAGCGAAAATCTGCTTTTCTTTGTCTTTTTTTGCCTCATCAGTACTAATGGTAGTACTGAAGAAGGAGAAACTATCCTTCAAAACACTGTTTTTCCCTCTCTCTTTTTTTTCTTCTTGAGCTATTCTAATCAAATCACTGTTGTTGTTTAATCCTAGGTCTGTGTGCTGGAGAGACAGATATTTGATTTCCTTGGTTATCAATGGGCACCAATCCTGGCAAATTTTGTACACATTATTATAGTCATACTTGGCCTATTTGGAACCATCCAGTATAGACCTCGCTACATAACAGGAGTAAGTATTATTAACTTTGTATGCTTAAGAATGTACCTGCTATATACAGTAAGAATTAAGAGACGTTAAGACATTCTCTATAGTTTAGGAGGCATCTGTACATATAATCTCTGTGATCAAGACAGATTAACTATATCCAGAAAATACAGCAAATTGTTCAGAGATCACTGGATTTTTTTTAGAAAAGTATGTTGCCAGGATTTACATAATGTCATGTAGGGATATATATTTTCAATATCTGAAAAGTTAAGCTATTTATGCTTTGTGAGTGAAATGGGTGATTTCCACCTCTCTCTTTCTCTCTCTCTCTCTCCCTCCCTCCCATCTTTCTCTTTCTTCAAAGAACTATTCAAACTGTAACCTTAAAACTATTCATGACAGCTGAACTCAAATAGCAATCAGAGTTGAAGAGTATTCAAAGAAGAATGAAGGTAAAAGGTAAAAAAATGAATGCAATAAAAATGGTTTTAAAGAATAATACAAGATGTATGGCCAACAGAGATGACATTTCTATAGATTACAGAGTCAGACTTTATTCTTTTACTGCTCGTCCTATTAGATTGGATGGCTGAAAAATGTTATCCATAAAGATCAATAATAACAGCAGGTTACATTCATCTGCTAGAGCTTAGCAATTGCTATTTCGATTCTGTCGGCAACTTTGAGGATTCAGAGGTAATGTATGAATATAGTCCATAATAATGCAGTTGTAGTTATATACTTCCAATTTTTGAAATGGATAATTAGTGCTCAGAAGGCAAGAGGAGTTTATTTATTTATTTCATTATTACAGCTATCCACCCCAGCAGATTCTGGGCGGCTTACAAAATATAATACTAAATTAGTTAAAAAATTTGATAAAACAAAGCAAAAACTAAAAATTGGGTAATGAAATGTCTGCAAGAAAACAACCAAGCCCAGAGAGCATCTTATTTCAACCCTGAGCTACAAATATTCTCCTTTATTAAAAACAAAGAATGGCAAGGATCTTCCCAAACACACAAACCTGAACCTGGAACTAAAGCCAGGTTGTAAGAGCTTATTGGAATCCCAGGAAAGAGGGCAGCATCCATATTTCTGGAGAAATGATGTCCCAGAGTGTGGAGGTTGCAACAGAGAAGGCATGCTTTCTAAGTCCCTAAAGATGGCAACATAAAAGAAACCTAAAATGTACCCATTCTGCCCCAAAACATCTGGAATGCAGCTCTCAGAACAGTGGTGGCATATGGACATAATGAGACATGCCCATTGCTGCTTGAGCCACTGCATTCTGAATCAACTGCAGTCAAAAAACATAATCAATGTTGAACATATATTTTGAAAATGGCTGATACACTTTGGAATGTCATAGAAGACTCTTTTTGAATATTGTGGTTCTTGTATCCACTTGTGTTTCCTTCATTTATGCTTAGTTAGCATTGCTTCTAGGGAGAAAAATATATTTCATTACAACAAAGCAGTTTGACCTTTTAGTAGAAATAAAGTTTCCATTTGGTTCTGTGTACGGTCTCACTAAACCTAGCTAATTACAATAGTTCCTTTCTCAGGATTCCCTATCACAATGGTTTGATTTGAATAGTGTCTTAAAAACCTATGTTTACAATAAAACTGATACAATAGAATATCCTATCACACTAAGTATTTTTTCAAGGCAGTTTATTTAACTATACTGTGTAGTTTGTACTATCCTAGAAGAATTTATGTAGCTTTACCACCATCAACATCCCTGCCAATACTATAGATTTTTTTTCCCACACACATCAATTCGATAAACAAGCCAGGTGTCTACTCCTTTGCTTTATGTCTGCAAGAGTCATGTCCTGTGTGCTTCTTATACTTAGCATTTTCTTCATTGAAATCCGGCCCTGAAGCATTCTCCTCCACCAAACTCATTAATTCTTCATAGAATCATTGACATTATAAAACATAATTCATAGTTTTCCCCCAAATTATAGTAAAAGATCTCCCAACATGCATGCAGCTTCTTCTTTTCCTCCCCTCTGTTAAAATAAGTCACACAAAACAGGAATCCTGTGTCTGTTAGTTCTTGACATTTTTACTAGCAATCTCCTTCTGCACTAAACGTATAGCCTTTTATACAGGATAAAGCACAGGTCAATGAACTTATCTGGGTGATTCACAGATTACAAGCATTGTCACACAAGGATAAAGAAATAATTCTCAAGCCTACAAGAGCTCGTTTTTTATGTTTTGCCAAACATCCTGATAGGAAGATCCATGCAGCAAATCTGCTCTCCTAATTTTATATAATGATTCTTGGATGTTCTGAGTCTCTCTGTTCGCTACTGGGAATAGTGCATAGATGCCAGCCTGATGCTCTTGTGGATTAAAATTAACATGTCAGAGGAATGAAATAGCAACTTCCATTCCTGATGTATGCATGTTAATTAGAACACATCTACAGAGTACTTTTGTGTATACATTTTGGGGATGATAAACATCATCATGCATGGAGGTGAAGCTGCTTAATGCCTCGTCATTCTGTCTCCAGGTAAAAAGGAGCATTAGAAAAAGGAGTACAGATAGAGCCAACTTTTTCTTCTTACACTGATTTACAAATTACTTATGCTTATTCTACCTTCATATCTATCTCTGGCACATTTTCCTGGTAAAGCAATTTGGAAACATTGATTGGAAGCCATTCTCCTAGAGAACATGGAACTATTTTATTCCTAATTCTGCTGTATATGAACATTTGATTGCAAATTTATCCTTCCAGTAGAACAGGATCTTCATACTCCCATATCACTCTTCATATCCAGAGACTAAGAAAACTTTCCAGGATAATTTCTATTTTCACCGATGGAAAAGAAGGAGACCTATGGGAATTTATGTAAATACAAGGAATAATCATATAATATTGAATATAGTCCTGTACTTTGAAATGCTCAAATTATTTTATAACTTCTTGACTCTGCAATAGTTACTTTGAGAGTAGAACTTCAATTTATTTGCAGGCTGGTCCTACAGATCCTAATTTAAAAAAAACACTAGTAGAGCAACAATTCTATATCGTTCATATTTATTCAAGGTGGAGAAATGGAAACATGTTTTGGTTTGAATGATTATAAAAACTCAACAAATTCCATTTTCCCCAGACCTACAGTATGTAAGAATCAAAATAGATTTGCAAAATTCAGAAAACATGCAAGTACTAAAAAGCATCTATTGAAGAAAGTATGTATAAAATGAATGTTTGAAGAAGTGTAAGATAGGAATAATATTAAAGAAAACTAATATTTATGGAACATACGCAATTAGAAAGTTCTCGCAATGACTTATATGTTATTAATTTTCCGTCAGATTTTCTTTTTTTGCAAGGTAATGGAACTGAATTCATGAAGCACAGAAATGAGTGAAATAAATTTATGACTAGGATGGAAAATGCAAAAATGAATGAAGCTGAAGGGGAAAGAATTGCCCATTCTTAGTGCAAGGTCACATAAGCAGCATTTCTTGACTATTTCTGAGAATGTCTTCCTTGATGCATCAAAATTGTCTTCCTTTTAAACAGCAGCAATCTTGGATTCATAAAATCAGAGACTTTTTATTAGATAAGTCTAAAAGCTACATTAACTGCAGGTAGCAGTTAAAGACCTTTTTCCCAAACCTCTTAGACAAGAAAAATAAGCAAACGAATGTTCAGCTTTCATCTGGAGATTAGCAGTTAAATTAGCCTATATTTCTACTTATAAAATCTAAGATATTGCTTTAATTACTGCTATGCAAATCACTGCTTGAGTTTCAGTAGCTAATATGGATTTGTAGGTGAAGACTGTAAATTATCATAATTGGCTTTAAACTGCAATCTTAAACATTCGGAAGTAAACTTTATTGAGTTTCATGAGACTTCCAAGTAAAACTTTTAGAGATGAGGTCTTTCCCTCCTCCTTGTATTTTAGCTTTTTATTTCTTTTTTGGATTATTTGTAATGTATTGTATATTCCATATTTTCTTTGACACAAAATCAGATTTTGATTTTTTAAAGTACAAATTTATGTTGTTTCATCTTTATGGAGCAGGTAATGTTAAAAATTCATTCATCTTTGAAGAGTATCTGGCATTTTCAGCTATACTTTTCATTATG